ATCCCGACCCGCCAGCGGTGTGCACCGGTTCCGCACTCTCTATCGCACACGTACGCGTTGAGTTTCCTCCGCGAGTCCGTTCCGCTCTCGCTCGCTCCGCCGTCGCGCATGGAGACGTGGTCTCCTCCACCCTCTGCCCTCACCCTCGCGTCGCGCGCGTTCACCCTCGACGTCGAATCTCCGGGAGAGAAAGAGAGAGAGAGAGAGAGAGAGAGAGAGAGAGAGAGAGAATGAGGGGGGGAGAGAGAAAGAGTGAGAAAGAGAGAGAACATTATTTTTCGTAAAGCGTAAAGTTTGGCGTGTAAACTTACGTGTAAGAGACAAATGTTTCAATTTAGTCATGTCACGTCGGAGGAGGAGGTTTGCAAGAACGAGAGAAAATCTGAGAAAAAGAAAGAGTGAGAGAGCATATTTTTCAAGCATCTTCGCGCAATTTTACGTCATAATTTAAGTGCGCTCTTGGGATTCAATTATTTGTGCAAACAGAAAATCGACAAGAATCACCGCGCGAATTCTCGTTCTTTTCTTTTTCTCTGTTCTTTTCAACGAGTCAGTCCTTTGCAAAGTGACCTGTATAAGTGACGTTTTTCGGAATAATTGTTGTCGAGAAAAGTACTCCTTGGATATTGCCGACAAAATTGGAGAAATTGGAAAACGCCGCGAGCTTCGAGCGACTGCATCGCGTATATATTTTTGTCTCTTCGATCCCGCTGCGAAAAATCGTGCGCCACGGATACAGGCATACGAGTGCTTATCGGGAGAATAATTTCTTCGCGCGTCTCGTTTCTCTCGAGCGTCGATCGAGGTCGCGTGAGATTTTCCGCGACGTTGGCACGGTGGTCTTATCACCTCAGCGTCTTATCACGATTCTCACCGTATAATTGACCAAGCGCAATATGTCTTGCTTTGTAATTTGAAGACAGAAAAAAGAAAAAAAAAAGACGATTTCTCTCATTCGCAACTCGCGTCTCCGCTCTCTGATATTATACGACTATTTCTATAAATGCGACTATTTCTAAGCGCGGAGTTTGACACGCGTGCTGAGACTATATATCGAAATGCCATCGAAAAACACATACGCAAATCCGTCGTTAAGTGAAATTATGACGTAAGACTTAGCTTAGAGAATCCGGATGCGAGAATAACGAAGTGGTATCGTTAATTTACAGACGAGTCGCGTAGAGGCGTCAAACGACATCCGATTGTTCACGATGAATTCTAGGTGATATGTAACTTTTTCTCGTAATAGGGAGACCGTACGAGCTTTAGGGAAGAAAAGACGTGGGAATTGTATAGAAAAGGGTGGTATATTATCATATCTATAAACATGCTTAAATTAGAAACGTATACAGAGCAAAGAGAAAGAGAAGCTTTTTTACTCGTGAGAAAACAAAGACAAAATGTAGTGTTCTATTCGATGACAGAGAAAAAGCGAGCGAACGAGCGAGCGAGCGAGCGAACGAGCGAGAGAGAGAGAGGGAGAGAAAGAGAGAGTATGAAAGACAGAGAGAAAGAAAGATGTATGTAAGGTAATGTGAGAAAAAAAAACACTACTGTATAAGCTGATTTCTAAGTACATATTTTGCAAGTGCACGGACTTATCAAGGGGTCGTGGGACATGGACTAAGTAAAAAAACTAAGTAAAAAATACACAAGTATAATTCTGTAATAGTTAATTGATAAAATATACAAGACTACTACGTAACTCTTTCAGTTTGTGATGTGCGCCGTTTCACAGGCGGCGGCAATATAAGATCCTTCACGAAATTAATTCGACTGTGATCTCTTCGCGAGTCTGATCTTCTCGCGCGCAAACGTTTCCGCGTCTCCGTAACGATCGAAATTTCCCCGACGTATTCGACGCAAGTCGCGCGCAAACTACCACCACCGATCGCGAGTCGCGTTTTAGAGGCGAAGGGAGACACGTAGAAATTTGTACAACGAAAGAAAATTCGAGAGCGACCGCGATGTAATAGAATTGACCCGTAATCGATAACAGTCGCGCGCCGGAATACTTGATCAGCGAGATCACTCCCCCCGGATCGAGACGAATCGTGCGATTCGCCGGGAGTAACGGTAGGGCACAATCCGATCATTAGATCTAGCACCCACTGTCCGAAGGTGATAATACGCAACGGTAATCGTCACTGCTCGCGCGTGCCGATTGGATCCGTCGTGAGAAGCGGAAGCGCGAAGAGCACACCCGGTCGACTTCTATTCTTGCCATGCCCATTTGTACATAGGCATGCTCAACTCTAGAATCGAAATGAAAAGCGCATCTCGTGAATCATATAACACATAACACTAAGCTACGAAACGAACAAATTATTATCCGACTTTGTACCTATATATTATTAATTAACGCAATGAGAGAGAGATCGGGGTGAGACCCCGACGACTATTATTATCGATTCGAGATAGTAGAAGCTACAAAAAGAACGTGAGAGGATTGGGGGCGTGCAATTGAGAAAAGAAAAGGGAGAACATGAGGGGACACATCCGTAGAAAATGAAACAGACTAGGGAGAAGAAACGAAAGGGGCGGAAAGCACAGAGAGAGGTAAATTATTAACACATAAAAATGCCGCAGAGCCAAGGGGTACCACTTTTGTCAAATTTAGGAAATCAATTTAGGTTTACGACTACGAGATAGGGAGGGTAGTCCGATACTTCCCGGGTGAAAACCTACGCATTATGCGGCCTATTTACAGACCACATCATGTCTAGTACACACGTACCGCCAAAACGTATCGGACTACGAGATAGGGTGTGCGTGCATGCGTGTGTGTGCGCGCGTATGCGTGTAGTGCGTACATGTGTGCATGTGTGCGTGCGTGTGTACGAGAAGATGAAGATGACGCGCGAGCAAGGTGTGAGCGAGCAAGCGAGAAGAAACGAGGGAAGGGAATCGTGCGAGAACGCAAGTGAGAGTCCAGGTGTAAAAGTGAACTATCGAATTATTCTCGTAGAAATGAAGTCCAACGTAGCCTAGGCGATCTTGTAATCTTGTATCGTAAGCTCACGAGCGACTCGTATTCCGATGTACACACATACTTCATATTTGGACGAGCCGGAAAAGCTGTCGTTAGACCCGCATACGTCATCGTTTCGCCGACCGACCGACTGACCGACCAGTCGATCGACCGGTCGATCGCCGCGCGAGTTCGCGCTAATTAAACCGGGCGTCCCAATTAGATTCTCTCCTCTACCGCTCTTTTCGAATGCACGAGGCTCTCAGCTAAAATAGCTTGTCGCTTTTCTCGAACATCGTCCGATGTCTTCTAGAGCGAGTCACGAGTCGGTCGTAAGATCGCGAGCAGTTTACGATCTTAATATATTATACGAAAAAGAGAGAGAAAGAGGTATGAAGAAGAATAAGAAGACGAAAGAAGAGGAAGAAGAAGAAATTCTCGCTGTCCGAATGCGCCCGTAGCTCGAGCACGCAAGACGCGACGGGGCTCGAACATTTCTAATTTATCAATGGTAAACGTCCGAATTTATTTCCTCGAAATATAAGAGTAAGAGGAAGAGAGAAAGAGAGAATGCGAGACAGAGCGCGGGCGTGTGAGAGATCAACTCAGAGCGCAAGGGAGAGAGTGAGGATGAGTGCGTGAGTGTGAGTTTGTGAGAGCGAGAGAGAAAGAGAGAGAATGACAGAGCGAATGTAAGAAAGAAAGAGAACGAGTGCATATTTCTAGGATGCGTATCTTTTTGTTTTTTGTCGAACAAAAGGCAGAAGGAAAGGCAAGGATTTACGAGAAAGGACGAAAGAATTTAAAAGAAAAAAAAAAAAAAATACGTTTAGACGACGTTCCCGCGGAACCTCGGCCGAGAACTCCGTTCGAACGTTTGTTTCTCCTCGCTTGTAATATACCGTCGAAGAAATCCAATTAAATAAAACATTCGCGGCTCCAGACAACACATCGATCTTCGTCGTACGGTATGTGTGTGCGTGTATGTTTGAATGTTATGTCCACATATTTTGTTTTTCTTTATAAATTACACATATTGATAATACGTGTTTCTCCCTCTGCGCACGCGACGAGCCGCGGCTCGCTGTAAAAGCTATATCGCCTCTCACTTACGGAGTTCGCGGCAGGAGATCGCGAGACGATTAATATAAAGCGTTAGTGACTGTATTCAGTATATATCTGATAAAAGATACCCCCGATGCCAGAGATGGCGTGTGACAATAAAGTGATACAATGATCTCGTCGCGTTTCGATCGTTCCCTTCACAGTGCAACGGTTTCATCCTCCCTACCCTCTTTCTTGCAAACGAAGAACAGTGAATTCGTGCGAATCTATGAGTATTGTGAACATTTCAAGGAGTTTTACATAAAAATAAATAAAACCGCTGAATCATATGAATTTTTAATATCAGCTGACGCGTTCACCGATGGTTCAGTCAAGATCGTAAGAAAAATAAAATGTAACGAACTGTAAATTCTGCAAAAATGACGGAAATCGAATAGTTGAGAAAACATTTTTCATCTCTGAAGTCTTTAGTTTCCAAATATATTGTCGAATATTAAGTTTACTCAATTTTTTGTAGCGCCACACAAACCTAAATCAGAATCAACCTAGTACTGAAAATTTTTGACAAAGTTCCCCGCGAGTCGCACTGCGCATAAACGAAAAATCTTACGTAAATTATGTTTATGTCATACAAAAGTATGATCTACTTTAATTTGCGTACTTAAAAGTTGCAGTACGATTCGTCTTCAGCAAGTTATTCGACGCGCGAAGCAATCCTTGCAGCTTGAATTGCTGTACTCGCGACTTCAAATCCTCGCCAAGTATAGTGGCGGCTCGTAGCGGAGGTTTTGGAACTAACTTCCAATATACATGCAGCAATAACGGGTCTAATAGTCCCTTAAACCCGTTACTTTCATCGGTCACTGATCGTCAGAGGGTTTAAATCTTGGCTAAATTTGGTTCGAATCTGGACTAAGCTTGATTCGAACCTCGACTAAACGCCAAATT